GCCTGGCACATTAATAAATGCTATTGATGGATCAATTGAGTTTAGACGAGTAGTGAGAAATAAGGTTGAAAATTCAGGGAGGAGGTAGATTGAGGAAGGGCTTACATGTCAGATTTTGTCTCATGCCTCTCAGCAGCAAGGAGTGCAGGCTTTTAGTAGGAGGAGACTGGGTTGCCCAATCAAGGTGATGTTTAAAATAAAAGAACTTAGCAGGCTGGCAAAGGGTTCATTGGCAGGGCAAGGGGCGGGTATGAGGTGGGAGGGGGTTGAGTCAGGCTACAGAGATAATCACAAGTCAGGGAGGGCCGTTCTTCGCTCACAGTAGCATTTTATTCATATTAAAAACAAACTTTAATCTTAAACTCCTTCCCAAAGCCATCTCCTCTCTTTTGTGAGCCAAATGCCAAAAGGATTGACGTTGTAACTCACAAATAATTCACTTTATTAATCCTTGACTCTTTATTCCTTTTAAACCTACAATGGTGCTTGACTTTCCCTCAGGAGTATACTGGAGCTAGCTCAGAGAGCTGATTGTTAAATTGTTGATGCAGCATGAGCGTCAACACCTCAGAAAATGGCAATCGCTACAAATCATGACTTGGTTTATGCAGATTAAACTTCAAAGTGTGTCCTCTGTACTCCTCCCCACCCCACCTCCCATAGAGCCAGTTGTTAAACATTTATTAGTTCACTCTTTCTTCCCCTAGAATGAAAGCTTCTTGAGTGCAGGGACTATATGTAACATTGGGCTTGGCATACTGGGTTGGGCAGGCACTTAATGATGAATCTGAAATAGAGCAATAGAGAACTGTGATTCTGTCCTCCACGCAATGATTCACAGAATATTCAGGGCAGGAGTAGTGGTGTGTGATACATAGACCTGGTCTGAGGTTCCAGAAGAGCTGGGCTTTGACTCCACCACTTACTCAGGGTGTGCCCTTAGGTAAGAAAGCCACTTCACATATGCCTCAGTTTCTTCATCTGTCATTTTTCAGGAGATAATCTCTGCCCTACCTACCTTTCCTGTGGGATTGTATTTAGAATAGGAAGTTCTCTGTAACCAGAGTCTTCTTAAACAGAAATATCAAGGTGGTTTTTGGCAGTAGGTAGCTCACCTCTGCTCCCAGCTGAGTGACCCAGGAGAAGTCATTGAATGCCCTTTTATAGCAGCTGTGTGATTGGTGTGGTGTGGAAGCCATTTACCCTCCTGAGCTCTCCGTTTCATCACATATAAAAGAGAGATAATCCTACCTGCCTTCTGCCTCACAGGGTAGTTATGAGAAAGGAAGGTGATTTACAAACACTTTACAGACCATCAGAGAAATGGAGGCTGTTCTTATTGGTACAGCCAGCCTGATTCTTTAGGCCATCCTGAGCTCATGAATTACCCAGTAAAATGAATCCCAGACTTCAATCCCATGTGGTTCATTCCCTTTAGTGGAGGTGATCCATGGTGCCAGACAGCCTGAGACCTAGAAATTTGCCCAGTGGCTCTGGAGGGATGGATCAGGTACAGTTGTTTTCCCTATTTATCCAGGTGTGATGGTGAGCCCTCTTGAGATCCTGAGGGCGGCCTCAGGAAAACCTTGAGACCAGTTTTGTCTGCATGCTACTCAGTCTAATTTTGGCTTTGCAGATTACAGGTTTGCTCACACCCTGGAGGCTCTGGAGTTGTGGGGGGGGGGGTGTGGCGTGGGGCAGGCTGAATCCTTCATAAACACAGGTCTAAGAGCTGGCTTTAGGAAAGGCTCCTTCTATGAGGGAGGTTAAGCTCTGTCCTGATTGGAGGGGCCTGGCAGGGGTATAGCAGGGGAAGTCTGCCAGGCCTCATCTGCCAGGGCCTAGGTCCTGCTCAGCATAAGGGACTTGGTGCCTCAGAAAGCTCCAGCTCAGCCATGATGAAACAGGGGGAGAAGTGACCTGAGGACTGTCAGATTGTGACCAGAGCTGGCACAGGCTTTGCCTGAGGAAGATTTAGGAGGGAAAACCCAGAAACTACATCCACTAAGAGATTATTCTAGGGAAATAGCAAAGTGGTCATAATGCCAGAGTCCTGAGCAGGGCTTATTCCTCAGTCTCCTAATAGCAATGATCCCTGAATTCTGGGGCTTCAGAGAAGAAGTGAACTCCAGATGCTGGCAGGGGATTCTCTGAGGACTGAAGATCACCGGTTATACACAGGAAGAACCCATCACCATGCTCTGCTCACTGCTGTTCCTCACCCTGATCTCCTTCCCCTCCCCATTCAAAGCTGTCCAATCTCCTGCCAACTACCTGCCCCTAGTACCACTGAACAGCTTTCTACTGAGGGAGACGTGCTCATTGGAGCTGTCACCCCCTTACATGCCCAGCTTGTTTGGCAGAAGGTGACCTTTCACCAGCCTCCAGAACAGCCACCATGCCAACAGTAAGTGTTGTCCTGGGGAAGGACTAAAGGTGAGGGGCAGCCATGCTGTTAGTGTTAGGGTGGGGGCACAGAGAGGGAGATAGAGGAGAGAGAGGGAGGGAGGGAAGGAGAGAGGGAGGGAGAGAGACAGAGAGAGAGAGAGAGAAAGAGAGAGAGAGAGAGAGAGAGAGAGAGAGAGAGAGAGAGAGAGAGAGAGAGAGAGAGAGAGAGAAGGAGAAAGAGAGGGAGAGGGAGGGAAGGAGAGAGGGAGAGAAGCTAAGAGGGAAATGATCATATTAGTGTGAATATATATAGAATTGTGAGTAGCTGGGTCTTGTGTACTAGACAATTTCACAGTATTCAGAAAGGAAAACTCTGCCCCCTCCTTTTTGTTAGAGATCACCTAATCCAAGGGTGGCACCCTGGAATCACTGGGTCATAATATAACAAGAATTGGAGAGACCCAATGAATTACCTATTCTATTGTCTGTCCCCCCGCCCCCCGCCATAGCCAGCAATCTCTTCTACAATGCTGGTGATAACCTTTCATTCTTTGCTTGACCACTTCCTGTGATGAGGAAATCACTACCTCTCGTGGCAGCCAGCTCCATTTTTAGACAGTTCCAGTTATTAAAGACTTCTTTCTCATGTTGTGCTAAAATCTCCCTCCTGTAGCTTCCATCCTTCAGGTGCAGTGTTGTTCTTGGAAGGCCAAGCAGAAGAGTTCCCAAACCTCTTCTACCTTGTGTCTGTTCACACATGTGAAGGCAGATATCTTCTCCCTAGCACCCCCAAAGAGAACAAGGCAAAACCCAACCCACACCCAGCAACCACCTTCTGGCCCTTCACCTTGCTTTCTTTTCTCCAAGACAAACTTCCCGTTCCCTTAGAAAGCATGCCCCCATATTTTTGGGCAGTGACCCTTCTGAAGTGGGATGCCAAAAATCCTAAAGTTTAATTTATTTCCATTAACATTCATTAAGTCCCTTGGAGTTGAGGGGAAGCTGAGTGAATACTGATTTCAACCTCTTCCAAATGATGATTCTTATAAAAAGCAAGAGGCAGCTAGGTGGTTCAGGGGATAGAATACTGGGCCTGGAGTCAAGAAGACCTGAGTTCAAATCCAGCCCCAGAAAATTAGCTGTGTGACCCTGGGTGAGTCCGTTAACCTCTGTTTGCCTAATCCACTGGAGAAGGAAATAGCAAACCATTCCAGTAGCTTTGCCAAGAATGCCCATTTGAGGTTGTAAGGAGTCAGACAGGACTGTACAACAGCAACAAATATAAAGCAGCCCTTACAGGTACCTAACCAGCCTATATCAGAGAGAGCTGCTTTCAGCTCATCCAGTTTTCTGTTGGATCTAATTGTTAGGAATTTGAGATTACTCATGGTAAGTCTATATCTGCCTCCCCTCTAGCTTCTCCCTTTGGGTTCCATGGAGCCAAGAGGACTGCTTCAGATGGGGCCTGAGCAGGGCAGAGCACACAGGACAGGAATCCTTCCCTTTTGATCAATGCAGCCAAACTTTTCAGTTTTCCCCCCTGTTGCTCTGTCACACTGTCTGCTCACCTTGGTCCTGTCGTCATTTTCCCTTGAGCCCCTTTCTAGTCAAGTCTCCTTCATCTTACTCTCATACACACCTTTTTTTAAGTGCAAAAACGCCCTTATTTTATGCCAGCTGAATTGTATCTTGTTGAATTTGGCCTATTCTCACGGTCTGTCTGGTTAATAATCCCCAGTCCCTGTCCAGTCACATATTTATCTTTGTGTCAGCAGCTAGTTTAAGAAATGTTACCAAGTCATCTGTCTAGAGATGTATTACATCAACAATAATAGTAGCTCATACTTAAGTTGCTAACGCACTTTATGTACCTTATTTCTTTTAAGACCGTATTCCTTTCTACAGGTGACAAAACTGAAACAGTGGGAGATGAATTGACTCCTCTTGGGTCACACAGTGAGTGTGTGAAGTGAGATCCGAACCAAAGTTTCCTGGTCCCAAGGCTTACATACTATCCACTATGCAAAAAATTTTTTTTTCTTTTTGTGGCAATTGGGGTTAAATGACTTGCCCAGGGCCACACAGCTAGTAAATGTCAAATGTTTGGCCTAATCCTGGATTTGAACTCAAGTCCTCCTGACTTTAGGGCCGGTGCTCTATCCACTATGCCACGTAGCTGCCCTTGACTATACAAAAATCTTAAAGGGAACTTAGAAATCACCTAGTTCAGATATTCTTAACCTGGGGAATAAGGGTAGGGTGTTGTCTATCAGCTTGTATAGGAAAAAAAAAATCCCATCTTTAATTTCACTAACTTTTGGTTTCCTTTGTAATCCTGTTTGTTTTATGCATTTAGAACCATTATTGTGAAAAGGATTTCAGAGGGAGTCCATGGACTGCCAAAGGCACCTATGACATTGATGTAGTTTAATCCTCTCATTTTAAAGAGGAGGAAACTGAGGCTCAGTGAGGGGGAGGGTATGACCATAGTATCACCATAGAAACAGGAATATGTCCAGCCAACGGGGAAGGAGGGAGCTTTCTAAGATTTTGTAACACACTGCCACCCAAGGCTGTGGCCGCCGTGAGCCTGCTGTGTTTTGTTCCTGGGCATGCTATTTGCTGTGGAAGAAGGAAATAGAGATCCCAGCTTCTTGCCCAATGTCACAGTGGGATTCCAGCTCTATGACTCCTGTGTGTCTGCCACCCGGGCTCTTGGAAGCACTCTGGGCCTTCTGTCTGGACAGCTCCTCCCAGTGCCCAACTTTGATTGCTACCCCCAGCACCGAATCCTGGGAATCATAGGTGGGATGACTTCCCCGGAATCGGAGGCCATGGCTCACCTGCTCCTTGTTTACCAAGTCCCTCAGGTGAGTGATATATGTAGAGACAAAATAGAGAATTCATGGCTAGTGAGAGGTGCCTGCTCTAGGGTGTTTCTTCTTTAAGACTAAAAACCCTTCTTTGTTCCCAGAGACCCTGGGCCCTTCCCACCCACAGCCAAGGCATGTGCACTCCAGGGTGCAATGGATGGGTGGTCACATAATGTGATTTGAGGAGTTCCAGGAAAAGGCAAAATAGCTTTCTGCTGGGTTTTCAATGATACCTGACATTTTACCATTAGAGATCCATTCCTTTGGGTTACAAACTATTAACCTGAAAATACTCCATGGAAGAATAACACATTGAAAGCATTTACCAAAAGCAATAATTTACATTTAAATCATACTTTTAGGATTATCAAGTGTTTTCCTCACAAAACCTTTGTGAGCTAAGTAGGAAAATGAATCTCATTTTACATGTTTCTAAACAATAGGCCCAGAATGTTTAAATGACTTGCCCAGTGCCACGGTATGGTTCTTTGGACTCCAAGGCCACTTGTCTTTCTACTCCATCACTAAGATGCCATGGGCAAGTAAGTCACTTAACATCTCTCAGTCTCACTTTCCTCATCTGTAAAATGGGTAGAGCAATGGCAGCTATTTCACAGGGTTGCTGTGAAGATAAAATGATAACATGAGCAAAATGCTTTATAATCTTTAAGCACTATTTACCTGTTAGCTATTATTATTAATAATATTTAAATAACATAGAATAGAATATTAATATTATTATTATTAACAAGCACTTTGTTGTTAATGGTTCCTTCGTTGACAGCTAGCTGGGAGGTGGGCAAATAGGGGGAAATCAGGAGAAGAGCTAATTTTAGAGCAAGCACAGCTAGCGTGTGAGCCCCTTTATTCCAGGTTCAACACTACTCAGGCTTATCTGGCTGCATTAAAGAACAGTGACTTTAAATTTCATTTTGTCCTTGAGAATCTTGGAACCTTTTACAATTACTTAGGATGACTGCCTACACTCTAGGATATTGCAGGGGCTATAATTCCCAGAATGCCCATCAGCAGAGTGAATTGGATAAGTTTCGGTTGGGAACATGAACCTAGTGGGGGTTGGCTCTGTGAAATAGCTGAAGCCAAGGATTTCACAATTAGTTATAGGAACATGCACTCTTAGGGATAAGAGCCAGGAGGCACCTGAGAGGTGATCACATCCAACTCCTGTATTTTTCAGAAGAGGAACAGAGAAGTGAAGTAATGCGCCCAAGGTCACATGGGTAGTAAGTAGGAGAGTTGCGTTTCAAGCCCAGATGCTAGACTCCACAATGAACTCTCCACACTGAGTATGGTCAGATTACCTTGAAGTTTCTCACATACTCAATGATGTCCTTCTACAATAAAATTCATGTTCTTCTATTTACTTTTTAAATCCTTTTACAGCCTAGACCCAAACCACCTTTAAATCAATCAGTCAATCAGCATTTTTTTTGAGGCAATTGGGGTTCAGTGACTTGCCCAGGGTCACACAGCTAGCGCGTGTCAAGTGTCTGAGGCCGAATTTGAACTCAGGTCCTCCTGACTCCAGGGCTGATGATCTACCCACTGTGCCACCTAGCTGCCCCCTATCAAAAAGCATTTATTAAGCATCAGCTGTGTTCTAAATACTGGAGTTGCCGATATAAAGAATGGAAAAATCCCTGTTCTCAGGAAGCAAACATTCTAAAGATGAGATAAGTACATAAGTATATGTATATATATATGTATGTATATATACATATATATACATTTATATATGTGTGTATATATATGTATACATGTATGTACATACATATATATATATATATATATATAAGAAACACAAAGAGGACAAATACAAATAAACCAGTTACATATATAGGGCAGCTAGGTGGTGCAATGGAAAGTGCGCTGGGCTTGGAGTCAGGAAGAGTCATCTTTGTGAGTTCATATCCAGCCTCAGACACTTACTAGCTGTGTGACACTGGGGAAGTCACTTAACCCTGCTTGCCTCAGTTCCCTCATCTGTAAAATGAGCTGGAGAAGGAAATGACAAACCACTTCAGTATCTTTGCCATGAAAACCCTAAATGGGGTCGTGGAGAATTGGACATGACTGAAATAACAACCAACAAAAGAAGATGAAGATTCAGTTCATGAATCAGAGAGGAAACTTGGTGTAATAAAAGGACGTTGCTACTTAGGACCTGTGTGCCCTTGGGCAAGTCATTTAATGACTTAGTTTCTCTTCAATGTCCAGATCAAGTTCTGCCCTTCTCAGGAGGCCTCAGTTAGTTTCCCATAGTCCTTAGTGTTCTACCCTCCAAAAATCACTTTGTGTTTGCTTTGTTCTCTTTCCAAATTTACTTACCTGTGCACATGCTGTTTGGCCCAAGTAAGCTTCTTATGGACAGGGTCTATATAATTTTTGTTTGTTTATCCCTTGTGTCTAGCACATACATAATAAAAGGCTTTTTGAACTGAATTTTCTTTTATCAAGAAATTGGGTGGTTCAAGTAACTTGCTTAAAGAAACATAGCATTAAAATGGTGAAGCCAGGCCCCAAACCTTGGTCTCCCGATTCACAATCCAATGTGTTTTCCACTGAATTAGTACAAATATCCCTAGGTTAATAAAGGTTCACCCCATACCTCATGCACATGCTCACATGAAGGGATAAAGCATTAATTATAGCACTTCAGGTTTTATTAATAAGGAAGAAATTAAGATGCATAATTGGTCTATCAAATCATACCAATGCCCATTCTGCTTTAGAGTAAGAGCAGCCTTGCTTGGCATCAACCCTGGTGCCAATGATCATTTCCCCCTGCCAACAGTCTTCTACATGGAACCTTCTTCTAAATATGACTTTGACCTATGACCTCCTTTCTCAGAGATGAAACCACCTTTATCAAACTGGCTGAAAAGATACCTGTGATTTCAGGTTACAGTGTAATCTTTCTAAGGGATAGTGGGTTCACCATTGACACATCCTTCTCTGAAATGGAAAAAAGTAGCCCTTTCCACTCCCATTTCCCTATGTTAACATATGTTATTGGGAATAGTTCTGTAGTATATAGAGCTCTACACTTGGCACCAGGAAGATATGGTTTGACTCCTGTCTCAGACACTTATTAGATGTGTGACTGTGAGAAAGTCACTTCATCTCTCTGAAGGGATGATAGCCCCTAAATCACAGGCTTTTTGTGAGGATCAAGTGAAATGATATGGTACCTAAAGTTCTTTGCAAACCTCAAAATTCTATGGCAAGGTTATGTGTTGTTATTGTGTTGTTACTTACTGTCATCCAGTCATGGTATTTTGTTCCTCATATATCTGTATTAGGCCCAGCCCAGTTGACGTAATTATAGAAGGTAAGAGTCACATAACAAACTAATAAATTGCTGCTGTGTTAAAAAAAATGCAAAGACATACTATACCATGTTTTATTCATTTACAAAAATGTGAAGAAATTTCCCTGATGGAATTAGAAGATCAGCTAGACAAAAGAAGGGCCATGCCTCTAGTGAACTTGAAAAATTTAATGCTGGCAGCCTAAGGAGAAGCTGAGACATTCAAGGCAGGCAGCAGTTTTGTGGAGTGTGACCCCTGTGTCTCTGTCAGAGGGGGAGGAGGGAGGACTTGCTCTTCCCCATCTCTTGTCTTCATCAGTCACGGTTCCTTGCAACAATTCTTTACTCTGTAGGAGACACTGCATCCAGTAGGGAGCGCAGTGAGACATGTGGGGCGGGGGGACGGTTAGGAAAAATCAGGAAGCAGCTCTAAGGAAGGTAATCTCTGTCAGCAGAGAAGAGAATTGACAAGACCTTTCTGTTTATCCCTAGCACTTAGCACAATGCCTGGCACATAGTAGATGCTTGTGAAATGTTTATTGACTGACTGAGCATAGATTTAAAAGAGAACTCTCCCTGGAAATGGTGAGTTGAGCTGCAGAGAGGAGCTAACTAGAGAGCCCAGAGGAGTGGCCCACATATTAAGGCTAGGGAGGAGCAGTTTGAGTACCTAATGAGAAGAGGAAGAACACTGGGACCCCACACTGTGGGAGGAATGAGTTTGCCTTGGCCGTGTCCCCCCTACATGTGTTCCCCAGTGCCATTATGCTCCAAATATGTGACCACCCTTCCCACGGGTACTGCGTGCATTTGTGAGATTGTGACCCAGATGTTTGTGTTAGGAATATTTAGCAGCTACTCTTCTTACCATGCCAGCTTAATAAAGGCCTTTGCTTGGACCTAATTGTGTCTACTAGGTGACTGTTGAGGGTTAATTTACTGGTCTGGGCTTGTGAGCTATAGCTTTAGGAAGGCAGACCCATAGAGTCTGTGGCCCCCACTTACAAACTTGTGAGTTCCCAGTGATAGTCCCAGAGTAGTGGGAGAGGGGACAGGACAGGGCATTCATGGGACAGTTGCTTAAATAATAATGCCTTCTATTTTTATTTTAGAACTTTTGGGTTTACAAAATGCTCTTTTCACAAACGCTAGGGGTTAGGTGGTACATATATTACTACTACTACTACTACTACTACTACTACTACTACTACTACTACTACTACTACTACTACTAATCTCAAGCATTCATGTAGTACTTTGAGGTTTACAAAGCATATAACACATATTACCTCATTTAAGTCACAGCAATCCTATGAGGCAGGTGCTATTATCCTTATTTTACAGATGAGGAAACAGGCTAAGACAAGTTAAGATGCTTGCCCATGATCATGTAGCTGTGTGATTGAGACACGATTTGAATACAGGACTTCTTGAGTCCAAGTTCAGAACTCTGTTCTTTCTGCCACCTAGCTCCCTCTATAGTTTATGCATGAAAGGTCAGTCAGCTTAAGTGAGAGGTTGAGAGTAAGGTTTGGTCCCCAGACAGCTGCTGGGAGGCCTCAAGAAATATCAAGCCAAGTTCTGGGTTTTTCAGGCCAGGAACATTTCACCCTTTTTCCTCCCCTAGATAAGTCATGGATCTCAACATCCCCAATTTTCTGACCACCACCGGTTCCCTTCCTTCCTCCGAACAGTCCCCAGCAGAGCCCACCAACCTCAGGCCATGGCCAAGATACTTCTCTACTTCAACTGGACCTGGGTGGGCCTGGTGGGCTCAGATAGTGGTGCCTTTGAGTGGCTGGATCAGGAATTCCGGAAGGCAATTGGAAAGAATGGAGGCTGTGTGAGCTTCTCAAAGAGGATCGATGGCCATGTCAACAATGTGGGTGATGTGGCTGATGCCATCCAAGACTCCACTGCCAAGGTGATCGTCTGTGACTGCTACCACATTCACTTCATTCTCCTTGCCAAAGCTCTTCAGAAGAAGAACATGACCAACAGGATCTGGCTCATGTCCACTTCTTTTTCACCAGACGCCTCAGTGTTGAGCAGGGAGGCCAGAGAGATGCTCAATGGGGGCCTGTTTCTGAGGATACACTCAGGACCAGTGCCTGGCCTTGAGCACTTCCTGTCTACTCTGCACCCAGCCAAGTACCCGGACAACCACCTGATAAAGTTGTTCTGGCAAGAGCTGTTGGGCTGCACCTGGCCTGGGCTAAAGGCTGGTGGTCCTCGAGCAGGATATGTTTCCCCTAACTGCACTGGGCTGGAGCAGCTGACACCTACCCATCTGTCTGTACTGAACCTGGATACTTAACTGCCACGTACCAAGCCTACCTGGCAGCCAAAGCTTTCCTGGTGGCCTATCAGAATCTGAGGGCCTGCTCTCCTGGGCAGGGACCATTTACTGGCAGCAGTTGTGCCAGGACAGGAGATGTCAGGCCATGGCAGGTGAGACAGAGACAAGGAATGCATGTCCCTATATCTTGCTCTATCTAGGATGGGATGAATACGCATGGGCACTGAATAGAATAAAGGAGGCTATGAGGAGCAAGGAAGTGGCAAAGGAGGTTGGGAGGGCTAAGAATCTTTTGGGTAAGTCTCATAAATCTCTTTGACCTTCAGTTTACTCATCTGTAAAATGAACAGCTTGGACTAGCTCTGTGATCTATGATCTATGAATGAAGGACAAAGAAGAGGTAGGAGAAATATCAGAATAAAAAGATTTGGCACAGAGCCAGTCACTGCTGCCATAAAAGGCAAAGCTAGAATAACCCTGGGAATGGGCAGACATATACCTCCTCTCCCACATTCAAATTTTTCAACCAATCAGAGAACCAGGCATGGAAGGGGCATATGTCAAAACCATCCCCAAGAGACTTTGGTAGAAAGTTCAATTATAAAGGTAAGCAATGATAGTGGTAAGAGCAAAGGGATTCTCAGGCTGGCAAGAGACTTGATTTTCTGGGGTTTTCAGTCTTTCCTGAGCCAGCTTCTTTAATCTTGTGGTGGAATGAGTGGTGAGGAGGTCTCTGAGGATCCTCTGTTCTTACTACCTCAGTATACTTAGCTTAAAAAGATACTACTTGAGGCAGCTAGGTAGTAGAGTGGATAGATAGTAGGGAAGATCTGAGTTGAAATAGGCCCTCAGACATTTATTAGTATTGTGTTGCTAGAAGTGAATTAACCTCCTGTCTTCCTCCATTTCATTAACTGTAAAATGGGGGTAAATAATAGTGCCTAACTTCCAGGATTGTTGTGAGGATCAAATGAAATAATATTTGTAAAGCACTTAACACAGTGGCATACAGTATGCACTCAATAAATGCTTGTTTCCCACTTTCCTCATTTCACTCTCACCATTTTCCTAACCTAAGCATGACTGCACAAAGCATTTACTTCTTCTGTATAAAACAGCTCTGAGAATAATATTAAGATAGAATCTGATGATTTTATCCTAAGGTACTGATACCCATACTATTCAGAGCCATTATTTATGGCCATTTCACCCCCTAAATAACCAATCAAAATTGGACTGATAGACAACCAAAAGAAATGGTTCTTGGGTGTTTGCTCTCCAAGGAGACCAAAAGTGTCCATATTTTTTTCTCTGACAATATCAGATGCTTAGGCAAGGTACATCTCGTATGAGTCCCCAAGTGACTTAAGGACTATTTCAGGAAACTTGAATATTAGCCTTGGGTGTGTGACTACTTACATTGTGATCTTGGCAAGTTACTTAATAAATATTTGTTGCTTCACCATATAGCAATATTCCCCTCTGCCCTGAAGAATCTTAAGTGGTTCTCCATGGCCTACAGGATAATCTACAAATTCCGCTGTTCGGTCTTGAAAACCCTTCATAACCTGGCTCTAGTCTGTCTCTCCCAGGCTTATTGCATATTACTGCCCAAAGCAGATTGTAAGCTCCTGGAGACAGGTAGTATCTCATTCTTGTGACCTGTGGTGGAGCCTTCCCAGCTTGTACTGGTCTGCTCAGCCACAGTTGGACACACTGTCCCTTGACCCCAACATAGTGATGTCATTTTGGTCCTCTTGAAGAACAGAGGACAACAACTGATCACCTCATTTTTGTATTTGTGCCCAGCACAGAAACTGGCACACAGAAGGCACCTCAGAAATGCTACTTGATTGACTCATTAATTGGGCAAGTCCTTTGACCTTTCTGAGTGTGTTTCCTCATCTTTAAAATGGTATAAGAATACCTCTAATGTTCTGTAGCAGGTGGGTGCTGAGAAGGTATTCTTAGGGGCATGAGGGGTCTTTTACATACAGAGTCAACCTGCCTGTTAATAGACCCCTACAGCATTCCAGCTAGAAGGCAACTTAGAGAGGAAACAGAGGTCTAAAGAGATAAGTAGCTGTTTTGCCTAAAGCACTCTGGGTGCTTTATGATGCAAGAAGTATGCTCCTTAGGCTCAAGGAACTTATGCTCTAGTAGGGGAAAAAAGCTCCAGACCAAGATAGAATTCTATGCTAAGCACCATAGTCAAGATACAAAGGTTAAATCTTGGCTTCTGGATCAATAGATCCAGGAAGGCTTCTTGGAAGAGATAACATTTGATAATAGCTGTTATGTAGGTAATTATTTTACGTGTGCAAACATTTAATGATTTTTATTTCATTTTATACTCACAACAGTCCTATGAGGTAGGCATTACTTCTCTCCATTTTCAAAAAGAGGAAACTGAGGCTTGGAGTAGTTAAATGATTAGTCCGTAGTCATACAGCTAAATAACATGAGTTAACATTTATATGAAACTTAAGGTTTGGAAATCACTTTACACATGTTATCTCATTTCTTCCTCCCCGTGACACTATGAGGGAGGTGCTATTATCATCACCCCCAATTTACAGATAAGGAAACTGAGGCTTAGAGAGGTTAAGTGATTTGCTCAGAGGCATCCAGCTAGTGAGTATCTGAAGCTAGATTCAAATTCATTTCTTCCCAATTCCAAGTTCAGAATGCTATCCATTACTCCACCTAGCTGTCTGTCAAAATAAGTGTCAGAAATCGGATCTGAACCCAGATTTGCTCCTGACTCCAGATCCAGCACACTTTTCACTATGCTTTATTTGTTCTTTGTTTGTTTTATTATTTTATTAGTATTTTTAGGCAGTTGGGGTTAAGTAACTTGCCCAGAGTCACACAGCTAGTGAGTGTTATGTGTCTGAGGCTGGGTTTGAATTCAGGTCCTCCTGACTCCAGGGCTGGTGCCCTGCCACCCAGCTGCCCCTCTTTATTTCAGTTTAGCCTTAAATGATGAGTTGGGTTTCAAATGGTGGGCACTGGGGACCTTGGAAATAGAGTATATTAAAAGGGAAGGGAGAATCCTAAGCTAAATCAATCAATCTATTTATTAAGCTTTGTATGGAGGCCATATAAGAAGACCGGAAAAATGATCTATGAGAAAAATGTGGCCAGCCCTGAGTGCCAGGTTGGAATGGTTCTAAAATGAGAACTATGGGTTTGATAATCTGCAAGGTACACATGTCTGCATGTCTATGAGGTAAAAATGTACTTTAGTTGAGGGGCTGCTAATCCTTTGAGATCTAAAAAAAATGTGAAAGAGTCAAATCGTCCCCTTGTTCTTCTCTTCGTTATTGCTTTCATTACAGTTATGACTGTATCACACGGGGAAAGCAGTGGAAAGATCACTGGTTCCAGACTCAGAGGGTCTAGTCCAAATCTCACCTTTCTCTCCACTGGCATACTTTTGGGCAAGTCACAACCCCAATGGGCCTCAGTTTTCTCTTTTGTAAAATGAAGCGTTTGGATTAGATGACCTCCGGAGTCCCTTTCAACTTTAGATCTATAGTTCTATTATTAACAGTATGAATAATACTTCTCTTTGACTCTACTTCTAGGGATTCCATCCCATAGGGGGATCAAAGGGCAATTTGAAGCCTAGTCTACATATCTATATATTTTAGAGGACTTTGAAACATAATACATTAGAACTGAGAGGGACATTAAAATTGCTATCTGTCTTTCATTTTCTTTTTTTTTTTTTGCTTTTAGGCAATTGGGGTCAAGTGACTTGCCCAGGGTCACACAGCTAGTAAGTGTCAAGTGTTTGGTCTGAGGCCGGATTTGAACTCAGGTCCTCCTGACTTCAGGGCCGGTGCTCTACCCACTGCACCACCTAGCTGCCCCTTCTGTCTTTCATTTTCGAAGAGGAACAATGATACCACAGGGTGATCTCTTGACTCATGGGTGAATTGGATTTAAGTGAGGCAAAGTTGTGCAAAGTCACCAGCTTCCTCTCTTCCTGAGACATCAGAGTCCAGCAGCAGGGCAAAAGTCAAATCAAAAGGACTTCGGATTCTCTAGTCCAGGGGTTCTTAACCTTTGTTTTGTGTATCCTTGGACCCCTTTGGCAGGCTGGTGAAGCCTCCTGGCCCTGTCTCAGATGAAGGTCTCTGAATGACTAAAACAAATTGGGACATGGATTATATTGAATACAGTAATAAAAAGATTTTGAAAACAAGTTCACAGATCCCAAGTTAAGAATCCCTTGTCTAATTCAGCCTCCAATATTTATGGATATGAAATCTGAGAATGAGATGGATATTGATGTTTTTCCATTATCTAGAAAACAGAGACTCTTTGATCAAGTCTAAGCCAGGGCAAAATCCTGAAGGAGGTGTAGGTTGTCTTTGGCATTCTCTCATCTCTTCTTTCTTCCCCATCTCTCTGTTTTTGTCATTTTCTGTCTAATCTCCCCTTCTTCCACTCCACCCAGATTTCTAAGCACTCAGTACTCTTTTTCTGTTCCTTGATTGTATGTAAAGAGTTCTATTATCACAGAGAAGTGGTGTAGTGGAAATAATATTGAATTTGCAATCTGAAGATGTGACCGCTTTGAGGCAGTATGGAGTATCAGAATGATGGCCAAATGTAGAGTCAGAAGACCTGTGTTCAATTTTCAGTTTTTCTACTTTCTATCTGAGTGACCTTGGGCAAATCCTTTCCTTTCTCTGTGTCTCAGTTTCATCATCTGTAAAATAATGGATTGAACTAGATAAGCTACAGCTTTGAATCTATGGACCATGGATGTTCCCAAGGTAGTACTCCAAGCTTTGGTTTTCTCCCTCCTTCTACTTTCAACTGCACTTCCCTTCTTTGTCTTTTTTCTCTTGAGGTCCTAATAGATAATCAAATTTCTAATTCTAGCTAAAGTAGTAGTGGCTAACTTTAATTACCTCAACTTCTTAGAAGCATCTGCATTTCTAAAAAAGCCTCTAGGAGAAATGATACCTTAATTTATTTCTTCTAGAGGTCTTTAAGAGGACCCCAGCATCTTTAATACTGAAATGTCAGGTACTGTAGCAGGTGGGTGATGGCAAGTGTTTTTAGGGCTGTAGAAGCACTTTCATATAATAAAGCCAACTTGCCCATTGATGGAACGTTATAATACTAAAGCTAGAAGACATCTTTGAGATCATTTAGTACAAACACCTCCATCTTTGGGTACCTTCTTACAGGATGTTTTTAAGGAAAGACTCTTCTTTTTCTTATGTTTCCTTATACAAAGGCAGTGATCTTTAGAGTTGGAAGAATAGAAGATCAGGGAGTTGAATCCCAAGATAATTGAGGAGATGTTTAGGGAGCTCCTAACTTCCCTCAATGGGTTAAAATCATTAGGCCTGGATAAACTCTATTCCAGAGTGCTAAGAGACCTGGGAGAAATGATTTTTGAAACTACCAATGATCTCTGAAATATTGTGAAATGTGGAAGTAAATGCCACAGATCTGGAAGGAAGGCAAATACTGTCATTTTAAAAAAAGTACATGGAAGAATCTGAATTCAGCAAAACAGCAAAAAATTTCTGACAAAATTCCATACCCTTCTATTAAATGGATTGTTTGGGATAATTCAGAAAGGGAAGGAGTAATCACTAAAACTCGGGGTAACTATCACAATAGTTAATATCAAACTAACTTCATTTCCTTTATCAACAGGGCTATGAGGCTGGCAAAGTAGGGGAAGGATGAAGACATGGACTTGGGGGATTCTGGCAGAGCATTTCAGGATAGATGGATGGGGCAGATGATAGGATAATGAGATGGGTTTAGATGTGAGGAGACACAATAGCTGTGAGAAAATGTTTGCAGTCTGGTCAGTTGGTGATGAATAGCTAGAGATGGAACAGATTAGGGCTGCATGTATAGATTTGGGAGGTTTTATACAAATATGAATGATTGCATATACATATATGTACAGATACAAACATGCATATATGTAAACAACAAAAGACCACGTGTGTATATGTCTAAATTTGTTTATGTATATGTATATATACACACATTTCCTTTCTTTTTGTCTCTTAATTAGAGTTTGAAGATAAGTAAGTGAGAAGGAATAATGGAGAGGGAAAATTGTGGGAGGAAATGGGAAGGAATGAAAAAAAAATGTTGACCTTGCAAAGAGTAGAGGAATCTCTTATTCAGAGACTGATGCAAAGGAGAAGAGAATGCAAGCCAAAATGAAGAGGATTGGAGGTGTTGAGTAAAAAGAAGAGGGAACTGAAAATGGACAGCCTCTACTTTCTCAGTGAAATAGGAGGTAAAAGTCCATTGCTCTGAGCCAAGGATTGGGAATGGTGTAGGTGAAATTAAGGAGAGAAGGGAAGGTTTGGAATGATTCTAGTTTTTTGTGTGTGTGTGTGTGTGTGTGTGTGTGTGTGTGTGTGTGCGTGCGTGTGTGTGTGTAATAGGTAGTCACCTGGACAATACTAATTAGAAGATTGCCATGTAATAGTGAGGGATCATTTGAGATTAGATAACAAATTTTGGTTGACCTGGTCAGGACAATTGTATAACTTTTTCTATGACTAGATTACTTCAAATGTCCCTTTAAGCTCTCATGATCTATGAAGATATAATTTTGAACTTCCCCAAGGAGAGTTGCTGAACTGTCCCCAGGGATAGTGGATTTCTCCTCAATGGAATTGTTTAAATCAAGGAAACCATTTACTAGATATGCTTTCGAGATGACTCTTGTTTGGGTGTGGGCTGGATTTGATGACTTTTATTGGGGGGGGGGTGCTTCCAGTTCTGAATTTTCATGATTTTATGAGTCCTAGCCTAGCTACTTACTATGTGGATGATCTTGGGCTCATAACTTAATTTCTTTAAGCCTCAGCTACCCTTTCTCTATAAGGAGGGACTTGAGCAAGAAGCTTTTAAAAGTCCTTTCTGCCCCTCAATCTATGGCTCTCTGATCTTTCGATCTGAGCACCTGGGTATACCAGGTAGAATTAATGGAACAGTCCTGGAGAAACCCACTGGGCATAGCCAAGATATATGAGCATATTTACTACGAATGCAGTGTAAGTGTCCTTGGACTCTCTCTTTGTCTTTCTACTTGTGTTTTTGCCTCAGCTTTTGCAATATCTAAGGTCTGTTCACTTCACTACTCAAGCCCAGGAAGAGATCTTCTTTACTGAGGAAGGGGAGATCCCAGCAATTTTTGATGTTGTAAGCATATACCTTGCTCCTGACCACACTTTGCGGACCACCAAGGTTGGACACTTAGACTTCAGGGAACCTTCAGGGAAAGAGCTGGTGATAAACAGTAGCATCATCATTTGGGCAGAGGGTCCTGGGAAGGTGAGAACTAGAAACCACCCCCTTCCTCCTGCTCCCCTTCAGTAGCAGTGCCAACTAACCAGAGGAAAGAAGTAACTATGAATCCAGTCATTACATCCCAATTCCAACTATGTCTAGCTGAAATTTCCACCATTAGTGAGAACTCAGAAAAGTACAGATTTGGGGTCCAGCTTTCCAAGGGTAAAAAACTCCTGCTAATGACTGATTTTACAGATGCTGTTAGCTCTTCTCTAAACTTTACTTAGCTCTCTTTTTTTCTGTCTGTCTATGAGTAGGCTCCTCTTTCAGTCTGTAGTAAAACATGTCCTTTGGGAACCCGGAAGTCAGCCATCCAGGGGCAACCAAGCTGCTGCTTCCAGTGTCTACACTGTCCAAAGGGAGAAATAGCCTATATACCAGGTAAGCAAGACAGGAGAAGGGTGGCACCAGTTTTACCCCAAGCAGCTAGTGGAGCTAGATTCGAGGTAAGAGCATTGTGCAACTTGCCAGAGAAATAAGTGGGTTGGAAGTGAGAGGAGTCAGACAGGAGAAATGGAAAAGAACAATGCTAGTAACTTCTGATTGGAAGAATATGTAGGATATGAAGAGATCAGTTCTCAGAATTTCACAGTTGGAAGGGCCCTAGTAGACTTCTAGTCTGGTCCATACTTAAATTTTTTTACAACATAGCTGAAAAGTCATTACTCGGCCATTTCTCAAAGGTTTCCTTCCGACAAGTATAAAAAATCTAGTTCAAAGTGAGCCAAAGAACAATTGGAAGGCTTTAATTCAAATCTAGCTTCTACTTTGAACTAGTATAATAGAAAGTTGGGAACCATAGCTGAAACGTGGCATGGTATAATCAGGATCCAAAAAGATCTCAATAGGATGGAATGGTGGGTTGGAATTGTCAAGTCACAAAGCATTTATTAAGTGCTTACTATGTGCTAACCCCCTGTGCAAAGTTAATAAGGGGAAGTGCTTTAAAATAATAATAGCTAATAATATTTACTATGTGCCAAGCATGGGGCTAAATGGGTGTTACTATCATCCTCATTTTAGAGATGAGGAAACTGAGGCAAACAAGTATGTGACCTGCCCAGGGTCACATAGCTAGAAAGGATCTGAGGCCAGATTTGAACCCTGGACTCCAAGCCCAGATCTCTATCCACTGTGCCACCTAGCCATCTCAAGTACAGAACTTGGGTCCAAAAGACCAACTGAAAAGCACAGGATAGGAAAGATAATGTGCAAAGGTAGTTCATGTTAAAAAGACCTAGAAGTTTTAGTGGACCAGGTGGGCAAAGGCAGCAAGCATTATTAAGTGCTTTCTATGTGTCAGGCAATGTGACTACCGAGCGCAGTGTCCTGTGGTAGCCAAAAAGCTAATAGGAACCAAGGTTGCTTTAACAAAAGTAAATTTTTATAACATGAGAACCTGGGGTAGTTATGAATCCCTGTGGTCCCTGCTGCTTGGGAGGTTGAAGCTAGGGGATTGCTTGAGTTCAGGAGTTCAGAGCTGCAGTAAGACCAAGATGCCACACCAAAGTCAGCACCAATATAGCAAACCCCAGAAGTGGAAGAAAAACTAGCCCAGGTTAGGAGAATGGAGCAGGTTAAAGCTTCCATGATGATCAGTATTGGGATTAGACCTGGACTACAGGCATAATAAGAACCAGCAGGGCCATATGGCAGCCAAGAAAATCTGATAAGAATGTACACTGATTTCATATCAATATAGTATCAAGAGGAAGGGAAGATTTACTTGACTAAGGAAAAGTTCTCCCAGTTTGAAAAGTCTCTCTCCTCTCACTTCCTTTATTTGACTCATCACCCAAAATCTCTTTCAGACAGTGCCAGTTGTCTGAAGTGCCCAGAGGACCAATGGCCAAACACTGGAAAGGATCAGTGCATCCCCAAGATTCTTGACTTCCTCTCCTACAAGGAACCCCTCGGCATGGCATTAGCCACCTGTACATCCTTTCTCTTTCTCCTTGCCCTGACCATCCTTGGCATCTTCATATGGCATCACCACATTCCCATAGTCAGAGCCAACAACCAAAAACTGAGTTATATCCTCCTTTGCTCCTTGGCATTATGTTTCCTCTGCCCATTCATGTTCATTGGCCACCCAGTATCCCTGACCTGTGCCCTGCGCCAGGCAGCTTTTGGGATTATCTTCACAGTCTGTGTGTCCACCACTCTGGCCAAGACCATCACTGTTGTTTCTGCCTTCAGGGCCACTAGACCAGGTGTCAGACTCAGGAAATGGCAGGACCAGGTCTCCCCAATGCCATCCTTATTGCTGTTCATTGGTCCAGGTTGCTTTATGTATGTTCTGGGTCATAGGCTGGCCTCCAGTGCCCATGAACTCTACAGAAGCAGGACCCAAAGTCACCATGCTGTGTGGTGCAGGGTCCTCAGAGCTCTTCTATGCTATGCTGAGCTACTTGGGCTTCCTAGCTCTGGTCAGTCTGGTGGTGGCCTTCCTAGCCCGTCAACTGCCTGACACCTTCAATGAAGCCAAGCACATCACTCTCAGCATGTTGGTCTTCTCATGTGTTTGGATCTCCTTCATCCCAGCCCACCTGAGTGCTCAGGGCAAAGACACTGTGGCTGTGGAGATCTTTGCCATTTTGGCATCTGGGACAGGCCTGATGGTCTGTGTATTCTTCCCTAAGTGCTATATCATCCTCCTCCGGCCTGAGAAGAACTCAAGGGATCAGATGATGGGCAAGCGTCATTTCAAGAAATGAAATCCAAAGCAGTCCTTCCATTTTCCTCATTCTAGAGGGGAGGAGGGATTCTCAGCACTTCCTAGCTCTCTCCAAGCCATCTTCATGCCATGAAAGGGCCAGTATCTCATTTAAGCTCTTGCTACCTGGCTGTCATTCATATATACTACGAATTTTCTCTCCCAGACTGGAACATTTCCCCTTTACTTTTATGCTGATCCAAATCCTACCGGTCCTTCACGGTCAATTCAAATATTTCCTCCAACTATTGTTTAGTCATTCAGTCATGTCTTACTCTATACGACTCTTAGACTTTTGTCCATGGGGTTTTCTTGCAAAGAAACTGGAGTGGTTTGCCATTTCATTCTCCATATTTTCCCATTTTACAGATGAAAAACTAAGTCAAATAGGGGTTAAGTGAATTTCCTAAGGTCACGCAGTTAGTAAATGTCTGAAGTGACATTTTAACTCAGATCTTCCAGACTCCCGGCCCTGTGCTCTATCCACTGCATCACCTACTGTCTTCCCTGGCCACTTAAATGTCCACTGATCACTTCCATACCTTTTATTAGCATCAACTATGGTACTTAGATATTCTCCAATAGTTACATGTATGCTAGTATTATTGCAGATGTCTTCTGTGTCTTCATCCATTCAAAACTATAGATCTTGAACCTCCATGCCTATACTTTTACTAGTCAGCCAGAGGACACAACTAGTTCAAAAGAAAGGCATTTATTTAGTGAAACAGTAGAGTAAGAGGAGAAGAAATCGAATACTGCTCCCTGACCTTGGGGCAAATATGCACACCATCCGTTTGTGGACATCGAAGTGGAGACTATGTATTGTAGGGATGCACATTTGAAGGGGCAACCCATGGCCACAATGCTATGGGGCCTTCAATAGCTCCTGGTGATACATTGTACTGTTCACACAGGGCCTGCTCCTCTCTAGAAATGGCATCTCCATTTGTATTGTAATTTCTGAGAGTCTCTTTACCCCTAGCATCTGGCTTCATGTCTTTGTAACATCTGTTGGAAATTGTGGCTCCTACTTGCTATAGCAACTAAAAAGCCTCTCTTCGTAAGGCTGTCAGTTTTTTTTAATCATAGTTAAGGCTAGGAACCAATATTTCCATGCAAGGGGCCAAAAGGCAGGCAGATTTTTCCCTGGATATGATCACTGTATTTTTTACTCACTTTCTCCAACTTGCACAATCACTATTTCCACCCTAAGACCTTTTCTAACTTAGCATTGGAAAGTTCTTGAAATTCCCATGAGTTCCTGCTTGCCAGTTTGCATTCCCTTTCAAACCAGCCCAGGTACCATTTCCTGATAAACTTCAAATGACCCCAAGTATCTGAAGTGCTATGGCTTTCTTGTCTGCCTGCCTCCCCCACCCCCCAAATCCTCAAAGTCTGCCATGCAAATGAATGGGTAGGAGAAGACAAAAACCTCAAAGTATCACCATCTACTTCAAGCCCTTTGTTCCAAATTTCTGCCTTTCATTTGAAAGTGTGTCCAGAAACAAATCTCCCAGGCTTTGAACCTCCTGGCACTGGGGTTTTTTTTTTTGTTGTTGTTTAGAAAAAACAATTCCCATTTATGTCGCAATTTAAGTTTTACAATGTGTTTTGCTCATAACATCTCTGTTAAGTAGAGCATTTCGTTATAGTTACACTCACTTTGTAGATGAGAAAACTGAGACAGACAGGTCTGGGGTTCAAAGTCATCTCTCCTGACTCTAAATCAAGTGCTCTTTCTTTTTTCTTCCTTCTTTCTCCTCTCCCTTCCCCTCCCTTCCCCTCCCCTCTTCTTCCCTTCTTACCCCCCTTCCTCCTTTCTTCCTTCTCCTTATGAATGTTTTTGGAAGTAGGTATAGTGGGAAACACATAGTGTTGGAGGCTGAACACATGGGTTCGTTACTTGGTGCCACCACTTAGTGATTTTCGGCCAATCACTGCTGCTTTGAGCTTGTCTCCTATCTGTGAAATGAAATGAATCGTAATCGTGCTCCCTGCCTCCTGGGATGATCAGATGTGATGAGTGTATGATATAATTATGTGAAACATTTTGTAAAGCTTAAAGTGCTAGATGAATATTCATTGGATCTTCCCCTTTACTGGTTCCAGCCCTGTCTCTACTGCTGCACAACAGGGCTTCCCTACGATATGATAGACTTTAAATGGAAGGAAGGTTTCCCCTCAGAGATGGGGAAGGAGTGAGTGCATCTAATAAATCTGAATTCATAGTATCATAGGCTGATAAATCTGAAGTTAGAAGGGACTTTAAAGGACGTCTAACTACCCCTACCCACCCCATTTTACACATAAGGAAACCAAGAGGAATAGATGGTAAGTGATTTGCCTGGGTCAGGCAACTAACAATTGGCTGGGACAAGATTTGAAAAGATGTCTTGCTGACTGCAATGTCAGCATTCTGTCCATTAGGGCGGGCTGCCTGTTCCCAAAGGATTAAAGGTTCAGGCTCTGGCTTAAATGACACACTTAGATTACAATAGTGCTGTTTTACCAAGATCATCAAAGGATATAAGAACATTAAATTGGACCCAAAGCAGCTTGAGTTGTACGTAGTTCTCCTTGTCTTTCTCAGTGCCTCACAAAGACTCATCCTATAGGTTCTTATAGCAACAAACTGTATGAATAGTGAGGGTGTCCCTAGGTCAGAGGAATAACCACTTCCTCCCTTGCTTGCTTATATCCTCTAAAATGCTTTGTGCTGTAACCTGGGATTCAGGGGAATCGTTCATCAAAATGGGCTGCATGTGACTTGGGGCTACATGTCTCTGAATGTCCCCCTTCTTCTATTTTGTGAGCTTTCTGTTTGGGACTGCCATTCAAACTTGTTTTCATGATCTGACCTAATTATTACTACGATGACTGCCTTCACTCTAGTTCAATGCACAGCAATTAAGACTTCGTGTGGTGGAAAAGCATATGTGTGCATGATTACAGACGTCTCTATCTGTATCCCCATCTATTCAACCTCAGGAAAGTTTTAGTGAGAATCTAGAGGGCCAGTGAAATAAAGACTGGTAATCCCTGGAATGAAACTGACTCTGCATCCTTTATCCAAGGCTACTTATTGGTGAGAGCTTTCTGCTGGGGTCACTGACAGTGGTCACTGATTAAGAAGAGTCCGATGTTATATTTCTTGAAGTATTGGGCAATGTATTAGTCATTGACTAGGGGCAAAATTGTATTGTGTGGAGTGGTGTCTAGTTTCCCTTCTCACACCTTGCAGGAGGCCTTGGGGAGAGGTAGGGAGTAATCTCTCTCCTTTATTTTTAGTATTTTATTTTTCCCAGTTACATGTAAAAACAATTTTAAACATTTATTTTTAAAACTTTGAGTTCCAAATTCTCTCCCTTCCTCTCTCCCCACCTCACCTTATTGAGAAGGCAAGCAATTTGATATAGGTTATACATGCGTAGTCATGCAAAACATTTCCATAATAGTCATATTGTGAAAGAAAACATAGGCCAAAAGAAAACCTCAAAAAATAAAGTTTAAAAAAATATGCTTCAATCTTTATTCAAACACCATCAGTTCTTTCTCTGGGGATGGATAGCATTTTTCATCATTAACTCTTCAGAGCTGTCTTGTAACATTGGCTTGCTGAGAATAGGTAAGCCATTCACAGCTCATCATCTTACATTATTGCTGTTACTTTGTGCACAGCACATTTCCCTTTGTATCAGCTCGTATAACTCTTTCTAAGTTTTTCTGAGAGTGTCCTGCTCATCATATCTTATAGCACAATGCTATTTCATCATAATCACATACCACAATTTGTTCAGCCATTCCCCAATTGATGGTCATCCCCTCAGTTTCCAATTCTTTGCTCCTAGAAAAGAGCTACTGTAAATATTTTTGTACATATATGTCCTTTTCCTTTTTAAAAAATCTCTTCTGGGATGCAGACCTAGTAGTGGCATTGTTAGGTCAAAGGGTATGATACTTTTATACCCCTTTGGGCATAGTTCCAAATTGCTCTATAGTGTGGTTGAATCAATTCACAACTCCACCAACAATGCATTAATGTCTCATTTTCCCCACATAGTCTCCACAATTTGTCATTTTCTTTTTTTGTCCTACTAGCCAATCTAATAGGTATGGGTAGTATCTCAGAATTGTTTTAATTTGCATTTCTCCAATCAGTAGTGAGTTAGAGGATTTTCCAATGGCTATAGATAGCTTTAATTATTTCATCTGAAAAGAAAGTAATCTCTTGTTGTGAGGTTAGTATAAATTTCATTACACATTTCACTCAATTTTATCACATAGGTGCTACAGAGGGTTAAAATAGCTAATTCAGCTAAAAGATGGTTGTCATAGAGCAGACGGAAGAGAGATGTCTTGCCTGCAGGAGATGGTCTCTGAAAATTCCTCTGACATCATGTCACCCTGTGGCCTATCTGGTAATGAAGTTCTCTGTCCTTAATAAGAATGGTCCTAGAATGATGGATATAGTAGATTGTTAGCCCATACTTAGAACCTTTCCATCTTGGTGCATTTTGCCAGAACTTGTCCTCTGTTAACATAGCCTTGAAGAAGGTTGTCAGAATCTGTCTCGGTGGAGAAGTAAAAATCATGCTTACTACAGTAGTCAAGGAATTGATGTCATAAGTGAGAGACAACTTGGCAAGATCCAGCTCAAATCCAAGGGCAAGAGGTCTGATAAAGCACTTAGTAGCTTAAGGAAAACTGTGAAGTTTGTTTTTTCCATTCTCTCCCCAGCCTTCACTTGGTAGGGTTTATAAACATTTTAAGGATTGGTGACTAGTTATCTGTGAACTCAGATAGAATAGAAAATAAAGAGGAAGGAAGAGTAATGAATGAATATTAATCGAAACTTTTAAGAAAGAAAGAAACAGAATCCAGAAGGAGGAAGGCTGATCATAAAATGTATGATAATAACCTCAAAGCTTACTGCCTATGTATGTGAAAGGAGAACTGTCCTTAAACTGTATCAGGGAGCTTTTGGGAGTGTGACATGAG